CGAGAGTTTAAGCCACCGGGTCCGGGGCTCGAACCGCGGTCGACTACGTGGGAGTCCAGTGACATAGCCATTACGGTAACTGCTGGTCCCAGTGAAAAAAATGTTTTTTTAATTGTTCTTTAAATTTGGCCAGAAGGCATGTGCACTTGCAGGAGACGAAGAGGAAGAGAGAGAGAGATAGCAAGAAAGCACCCCCAGGGGCATGGTAACACACAATCCCGTTTCTTCCCTCCTTTTCAGGATTTGGGGCAGGCACACATTTGTACTCGGGTTGTTGCCTGATCCAGAACCAGAGCTGCCTGGTTGGTCATTTGGGGCCCAGCCGTCTGAGCCACCAGGCCATGGGGTGGCTCCAATTTTTTTTTTTTTTTTCTCTGTTATCCTTGGGGCCTGGCAGGTGACGTGATGGTTAAGTGGCTGGACTCCCACAGGGTTGATGGCAGCTCGAGTCCTAGACGTAGCCGTTTGATGTCTCACTTTCTCTCCTCTCTCTCTCTTTGGTGAGTGCATGTGCCCAATAACACATTTTTTAAAATAATAAAATTAAATTATTCTTTTCTTTTTAGAGATATTTGTTATAGGGTGTGTGCTCAGCAGAGAGACAGAAAGCGAGAAATCACCCCCAGGGGGTGGCTATGCTGCAATCCCTTCTCCATTCTCCTCTCAGGATCTTGGGCACGCACACGTGCCCATGCCCGGCCTAAGTTTCAGGCTACCAAGTTCAGGACTTGAACTGCAGTAGGCCATGTAGGAGTTCAGTGCTGGTCCCCAAATTAATCTTTTTTTTTGTTTGTTTTTCAGTTTTTGCAAGAGGACAGGTGTGCTCACCAGAGACACAGAGAGAGACACAGAGACAGAGAGAATGAGAAATCACCTCCAGGGGTGACGGCCATCCCCAATCCCTTCTCTGTTCTCCTCTCAGGATGTTGGGTACACGCACACGCACACGCACTTGGCGTCATTCTTAAGCCTCTGGGTCAGGGATACCGACTGCGGGGTCCACCACGTGGGACTGAGCACCTTAACCTCTATGGTATTTACTCTCTGCCCCCAAATTAAATAGTTCTTAAAAAAGAAAAGTCATCCTGTGACCAGCAGATGGCATAATGGTTTCATTACTGGACTCCCACATAGTCAACTGTGCTTCAAATCCCAAACCTGAAAGCTTAAAACTCATGCTGGGCGTGTGTGTGTGTGTGCGTGTGCGTGTGTGTGTGTGTACGCTCGTGCGTACCTAAAATCCTGAGAGGAAAATGGAGACGGGCTTGTGGCATGGCCATCCTTCCTGGGGAGCGATTTCTTGCTTTCTGTCTCTCTCAGTATCTCCGGGGAGTACATGCGTCCTATAGCAAAAATCTCTCTTAAAAAAAAAAAAAGTTATCTTCACTAACACTGTATTTTGTTACCAACTTCTTGGGTGTGGTTACAATGAACTAAATAATAAAAGTATTCAATTTTCTTGATTTTCTATTACACAGAGAATACTGTTCTTAGAATAAACAGCATTCCCGAAAGAGAGCTTTTATGAATGGGAAAACACCTAAACACACATAAACTAGTCTCCACTGAATTTTAATATTAATTTATAAAATACACACCAAGTGTTGTGAAGTCACCGGATAAACTCATTAGTCGTTACTATATTATACGTCTAAGCTTTATGTGTTCTTAGGGAAGAACTTAGCAGACTATGACACGCTAAGAAACTGTGAAGTGTTCAATCGAATGGATCCATTTCCCTTTCGTCCACCTTCTGCTAGGCAGACATCCACCTGGTGACTCCTCTGCCTCCACACATCCTTCCCGTGTGCAAGGAGGCCTGACCTTGGCTTCCAGACATTTCTGTCAGCACTGCAGGAGCAGCATGTGCTCTTCCTCTAGCTAGCAGCCACAGCTAGTTCGCTTGACCCTGCAGGTAACAGCCACCACCACCCAGTGACATAGCTCACAAGATAACAAGAGATGGTCAATGTCTTCTTGTTTTTACATTTTTGCCATAGGGTGTGTGAGCTCGCTGGCAAGAGAGACAGTAAGAGAGAACGTGAGAAATCATCCCCCAGAGGAGATGGCCATGCCATGACCCCTTCTCCTGTGACTTTGGGCACGCATGCACACACATCTAGTGTTATTTTCAAGCTGTTGGGTCAGAGACTCAAACCATGGTTGGCTCTGTAGGAGTCCAGTGCTTTAAACAGCATATCACTTGCTGGGGAACCAGCAGTTAGCGTAATGGCTATGTCGCTGGACTCCCACGTAGTCGACCGCGGTTCGCGTCCTGGACCCGGTGGCTTAAAACTCACGCCGGGCGCGTGTGCATGCGTGCCCAAGATCCCGAGAGGAGAATGGAGGAGAAGGGATTGCGGTGTGACCATCCCCCCTGGGGGGTGATTTCTCGCTTTCTGTCTCTATGTCTCTCTCTGTCTGTCTGGCGAGCGCACGCACCCTACAGTGAAAATCTCTCCAAAGACAAACAAACAAACAAACAAACAAAAAAAACAGCATACCACTTGCTGGCCTCCAGACAGTCAATGTCTTTTAAATTTTATTTATTCATTCATTTATTTTAATTTGACCAGAGAGAGACAGAGAAAGTGAGAAAGCAAGCCATCAGGTCCGGGACTTGAACTGTGGTAGGCCATGGGGGAGTGTCCAGCACTTAATCACTGTGCCACCTGCTGGTCCCCTAGACGGTCAATGTCTTAACAGCAAGGCACTCCCCAGCTTCTGTTCAGGAGAGCTGTCACCAGGACAGCAACATACACTGCAAAGCTCACCACGCCAGGTACTTCCATCACAGCGAAGGGGGACAGCCAGTGGCTTTATCAGTGTCATGTCTAATGGCCTGCAGGAAGAACAGAGGGGTTTTCTTTATACATTCCTGGAATGGTCATCCTTCCTCAAAATCAAACTTGTCAGGTTCTTATCCCAAGTCGGAAATGAGGAAGCAGCAGAGGTTCAAGATGCAAACAGCACTTAGTCATACTTGGGGAGTGAAAGGAGTCTGAGACCCATACCATTGTTTTGTGGATCCCGGATCCCAGAGGCAGGATTTTCAGCTTTTATATGCTGGGGGGAAGGAATCAGGGTTATCCTCTAAACTGATTGGCAGAGGTCAGCTAAGCAAGGTGATTAACCAGGGATTAGAAATGGCTCGTAGGGGCCAGCAGGTGGTGTCATGCTTAAGATGCTGGACTCCCACATGGTCAGCCAGTCAGTGTCCTGGATCCGGGTGCCTGAAACTCACACCAGGTTCATGTGTGTGGGTGCCCGAGATCCCGAGAGGAGAATGAAGGGATAGTGGCCTGGCCATCCCCCCGGGGGGTGACTTCTTGCTTTCAGTCTGTCTGCTGAGCACACGCACCCTATAGCAAAAATCTCTCAAAAATAAATGACTCAGGAAGAGGACTGGTTTTATCTCAGACTTTGAAATGGTCGGTGTAAATTGAATTCAATCCATATACGCCATAGTAACATACTATAAAGGCTGTAACAAATAAGTACAAGCAAATTTGAATTTCGGATGGTAAACTGTCACATTAATCCCACATGGCCGACTATGGTTCGAGTCCTGGACCTAATGGCTTGCTTTCTCACTTGCCCTCTCTGGTCAAATTAAAGGAAAACAAATAAATAAAACAATTCTTTAAAAAACTAAACTTTTGTTTCAAATAATCGTGAGCAATGTTCCAGATAACTCTTGAAGATATTATGTGTAATCTTTCACACTAACAGAATTACTACTTCCAAAAACTTCCCTTCCCTATGGCACGTGGGCTTGGCCACAGTAAATGTACATATGATTTGACGTCATATTTTAACAATTAAAAATTCAGGAAGCAGGACCAGCAGGTGGCGTGGTGGTTAAAGCACTGAACTTCCACACTGGCCAACTGTGGTTCAAGTCCCAGACATGGTGGCTTGAAAATGACGCCAGGTACATGTGAGCCCCTGCAGAACGGCCATTCCCCCAAGGGTCGATTTCTCACTTTTCCAGTGGGTGCACACGCCCTACGACAGAAACCTAAATTCAGAAAACACGGATCTTGTTATAAACTAGCAGTTTTCATATAATGCGTGCTTGGTAAAGATCTGCTGGGTGACTTTTTGTATAATTTCAAACAAGAAAGTAGCCTTTATACAAGTCTATGTTTATTTGTAAAAAATAACATACAACTCAAGCTAATTTGATTTTTAAAATCAAAGTTCATTTAGTGATGTACATTTTATAATAAAATTGTAGTAAAATACTGACATTTGATAGTTTAAACAAGGTATCATTCATGTAAAAATCATGTTATAGCATGTAAAATTTAATTAGAAAATTCATACTTCACAAAAGTACATATATTTTGTTGACAGCTCGGGAACATTATCATAAATTGACTTAAGATACAGAACAAAATTCACAGTTAGGCTTGACGTTGAGTACTAACAGTCTCACACTGGACCCACTAGTATTTGTTAATAAGGTGCACTTGGAACAACTGACTCAGACGGCCGAGGAGTTGATTCTGTACGGTTAAACCAAGGCCTATCGGCTTTACAAGATGCCTAGTAATCAACTATTCCACTGATACTGCAAATGAGAGACCTAGTGGAGAACACCAGTGACACAGACCCTTAACAAGATCATTAAAATAAGCAGCTTTCATTTCCGTTTCCACAAATACATACAAGATAAATCTGTACTTCACAATTAAAATTTGTACAAAAAGTCAAGCCCTGAAGTGTTTTTTCCCCCAAGAGAAAAGTTCTGATGTTAAAGTTGTTAAAAAAAAAAAAAAAGAAGAAGAAGAGAGGTAGTGTGTGAAAGTGTTTTTACTTAAAATGTTGAACCCCTGCACCACTTACATTATACATGAGATTTAACCTCCTACGCACTAACATCTTGCCATTCGAGAGTCGATTATAAGACGCACAGAATGTGAAAGCCAGAATGCCATTAAAAAAACAGTGGTATATAAATGGAAGAACTTCAGTGAGTTCAACGAAAACTACACTGTTACATCATCTTGTGCGGTCAGTTAATGGTTTACTGATAATATGCTTAGTGGTAAAGGGAACGAGATACGCTGAAGCTTCTGAGTCAAGTGATCTTCGTCTAATCCAGACTTCATATATTGGACCATAGAGAGAGCATCCTTCAAAACGGAGTCGTTTGCATCTTCATTGTTTTAATAAGCACACAACTGTTACAGCTATCCAAACTAGCCCTACCATAAAGTTAATCAATAAATAAGCCTCCGGAAGCCATGGGGAGCACAGGACCCTCACGACAGCCCTGCTTTCTATGTTACAAGCATGCCACAGGCCTGGGCACCTGGAAGGGAATCAGGCGGGGCTGAGGCGGGTGGGAGGGGGTAGCAGCCTGCCGCTCCCGCTTCCGAGGATGTGCTGGAAGGTAATAAATAGTCTCATAAAATTAACAGTGTTACACTCCACTCCGTCACAGGTGAATACTACATATTCTTCATAAAGTGTAGGCAGTGTTCCTAGAAATCCCAGGAAGGAAAACCCGACTGTTTCATATAAAAAGTGCACAAGTTTGTCCTGTGGGTTAAAAAAAAAAATCTCTTATTCTGGGTGCTTTTTTTTTTTTTTCCCCAAAATGATTCGTACCAGTTGAATACTTAAAAAGAGTATAAAAGCACATCAACAAAACACACATTAACAACAAAAGGAAAGACTTAGGAATGTGGATGAGAATAGGTTACAGGAGAGCCTCCCGTCTTACCAGGATCTATGTGTAATCTGCCTTTTAAAACAAAGTCTGCCGTATGGAATCAGCTTGTAGGTATGGAAGCACTAGGGTGGAGACTCGGTGACACAGCGTCCGCGGCCGAGGTCCGTAATTCGGGGACATAGCTGCAATGCTTTCTAACATGGGTGCAACTCTGAGAATCAGCCAATGGGTTTTGCTTCTTAGAAATTAGGAACAACAACAACAACAAATACCTCTGAGAAAATAATGTGTTGCAATTAGTAATAAGTGACACTAACAAACATCAAAATAAAACACTGGGCGTAAGAATTGAGGTCCCCAACGTACCAAAAGATAGACAAGAGAATCAGACTTCTTCACATTATAGAATTTTTAGAAGAGAAGGAGAAAAGGGACTGGGCTCTGCACAGCAGGTTAAATGTGCAACCACTTCAGACAGAAATGATCCGGTCCTCGTACTCGGCTCTGAGAATGTGCTCGAACGTCCGCTCACGTCATCAGCAAAGGCCCCTTCATTTGACTCTTAAATTCACCTCTGATCCTCCAAAGTGTCTATGAACAACTATCGAACTACTATTCTAATAACATGTTAAGCTTCCAGTATTGTTTTTCTCATGCCTGTTCCACATGTCGGTTCAGAGGTATATACGCGTTACACTGGTCAGATTTCCAAGCCCCCGGGCTTCCTCGCCCAAGAACATCCCACCGTGGTCTCATAACGTTATGATCGTCCCGTCCTCTTCCAGGAGCTTTTGGTCCGGGGCTTGTGCTTCACATTCGGGGTCTGCGCCACCCCCTTCGTCGGGAGGGATAAAACCATTCTGTCCAGGCTCGAAACCCAGCTCTATGTGTGTCAGTGACTCCAGGCTCTCGGTGTTGGGGACAGCTTTGGGGATCTGCTGCGGCACGCCGTTGTCTTCGATGACGATGTCGTCTTCGTCGCTGTCTTCGTCCTCCGGCTCGAAGCTGGGCTCGGCCTGTGGTGGGTAGCTGACGAGGCTGTTGTCGGTGGACTGGCCGGAGCTGCCGGAAGTCCGACTGTTCCTCACGACATTATTCCTCTGGTTTGCCGGCCTCACGGTTACGATGAGGTTGCGGCTGTTGGCAATCATCATGTCTGTCACCTGATCGAGACTCTTCCCGGAAACTTCGATGCCGTTGACTTCTAACACTTCATCGTTCACGGCCAACAGTCCTGTGCTCTGAGCCAGACCTCCGGGGACCAGCCTGGATATGAAGATCCCTGGGACCTTCTCTAGGCCGTGTGGTGTGACCCTGACACTGGAACCATCGCGGATGTAGAACCCGAGCGGCTTCTCGGTGCCGTATTTGTAAAGACGAACCCGACGGTGCGTTTCTGGGAGAATGTCCACGTCGATGATGGAAGACACGGGTCGGAAGTCTTGGGGCATGCTGATCACTATATGTGGCTTTTTCCTATGGTTGTCAGGACGCAACACATTGGTTAAAACATTCTTCTTCTTTATTAGCGTATCTGTACCAAAGGCACTGTAGTCTGCTTCTTCTGTTTAAAAAAGAAAATAAAATAGTTACAGAAATGCTGTAAAAATACTCACTTACAGTTGGATCTGCACAGAAAGGGTAACTCAGATAGACCCGGTACATTCACTGACAGTTAAATATGAGCAGATTCTAAGCAGATCCTAATGCAGTAGAGCAGTAAGATACGCCATGCCAGAAGGAACCGCTAGGTGGCCCTCTCAAATCCACAGCACAGCATGTCCAAGTGCTGAAGTTAAATTAGCTAGAGCTCGCTGCGAAACAGTGAAGGTGACCGACGAGCGGACAGATCTGACAAGCGCACGCTTACACATCGTCTTAAACCAACTACTCACAATGCACCCTTCCCTCCCTCGTTTAAAAACCCTCCAGTATCCACCCATGTTTATCATATTCAACCAGGTGATATGAAAAGGGACATGGGATTCGAGGCTAAGCCAGGAGAGCAAAATCAAGTCTGCAGTAGCGGCTGGGCGGATAACGAGACTGCGTGACGTGATGCTGGTGCATATCGGACCCCAGGGAATTGTGATCTGAAATAAACACTCTCAGGTTAGTGGGGGAAGTTCTGACCTTCTACTTCCTCGCTTCTGAAAGAGGTAGAGTATATGATCCTAACTTTTCCCTCATGGTGTGGAAAACGGTAAAGTGCAAGACAGTGTCTCAGCGATGGTGACAGACAACAGGGAGTAGTGAGGACTCTGGCAAACTGGAGAGCCTCTGCCTTCCTTAAAGACACAGCCGCTCCCCAGTTCCATGAGGTTTCTGACATCAGTGATTGACCATGGTTTGAGTCCCAGACCTGGCTGCTTGCTTTCTCATTTTCTCTCTCTCACTCTCTGGTAAGCACACACATCCCATAACAAATCAAAAATAAATAAATAAAACTAAATAAATAATTCTTTTTTTTTTTTTTTAAGAGAGAATTTTGCTATAGGGCTCATGTGCTTGCCAGAGAGACAGAAAGTGAGAAATCCCCTTCCTGGGGGCAAGGTCGTGCCACAATGCCTTCTCCTCCATTCTTCTGAAACTTTTTGGGCACAAACGTACACACGCCTGGTGTGAGTTTTTTTGGTTTGTTTATTTATTTATTTCCATTTGTTCTTATTATTTTTAAATTTGACCAGAGAGAGACAAAGAGAGAGAGAAAAAGGGAGAAAGCAAGTCACCAGGTCTGGGACTCAAATCGCAGTTGGCCATGCAGGAGCCCAGTGCCTTTAACCGCCATGTCTGAGACTTGAACAGTGGTCAGCTATGTGGGAGTCCAGCGATATAATCAATACACCACCTGCTGGTCCCACGTAACTTAAATATAAATAAATAAATACATGCTGACATCTAACTAAAGAACAACAAAATCAACCCTGTTTGGGCCAAATAACCAGTCTGGGAGATTGAACTACTCCTAAGGTCATCGATTTATAATCTCTGATATAAACAAAGAGGAGACAGGAGATCCAAAACCAGATGTTGTTGAATCATAAGGCGGAAGAAGGGCATTTTACAGACAGAACAGCATACTGGAGGGTGAGAGGCAGAAAAGGAAATGAAATTAACAGCAGGAACAGAAGCTGGACTCTCATTTTAAAAAAAATTAACTAGAATGAGGCGCTGGCAGATGGTATAATGGTTATGGGCACTGGACTCCTACATGGCTGACCGCAGTTTGAGTCCTGGACCTGACAACTTGCTTTCTACCCCTCCCCCAACCACATCAAAATTTAAAGAAATATATAGTTAAATAAAAGAATTCTTTTACAAAATAACTAGAATGAGGGGAAAATAAAAAGTCAAATTTCCAAGGATAAAAAAATACTTCAGTAAGAATAAAAGAGATAAAAGCCCCCCTCCCCCCCCCCCCACTAGTTAAAAACTCCAGTCTCAGCCGCTGCTTCAGTGAACACAGACACCTGCACGGTGCCCTGCTGTTGGTAAACTACCACTGTCTCCACTTTGCAGACCAGGAAATTAACGATACACACGTTAGAGGCAAAGAGCAGAACCCAGGTCTTCTTCCCAGCCAGTACCTTCCAAGGACAGATGTTAAGTATTAGTCATGTGCCAGAGTGCAAAGACCTGTAAAATTATTAACTGATGCTAACTGCACTCTTCAAAACCTAGTTCTAGGGCATCAAGTGGCATGGACCCCACATGGCTGACTTGTGTGGCTTGAAAATCATGCTGGGTGCATGTGCGCTTATGCCTAACATCCCAAGAGGAGAGTGGGATTGTAGCATGGCCACCCTCCTTGTGGCGGTGAGTTTCCATTTTCCCTCCCTCTGTCTCTCAGTAGTGAGCACAAAAAACCTAGTTTCAGATAAATGCACAAAACTAAGGGTACCTTATTTCTTTGGCACTCCCCTCCCCCATCAAGGGACACGGTCACCGTCACTTACAAAGTATTTATGCTGTGTTCTTACAGAGACAAACATTTGTTTATAATCTGGTTTTGGAAATAAACTTCATGTAAGAGTCTCTTGGGCAAAAATTTGGTCGAAAACCTACCAAGAATATTCTTCTCCACATCATTTGGGCATGTGTTTTCTCAAAATTAAAGACACTTATTTAAAACAGTCAACAGTGAAAGCCTACGTAATATTCAGGAGGGAAATTCCAGACCATACAAACTGACGACAAAACCAAGTTGCCTACATACCTACTCCTGGGAAACCTGACCGAAAAGCCCCAAATCTGCATAATTTGGCATTGCATCCAGACTCAGTTTGAATGCTCTCTGCTAAATTCTCAACAGCAATATGCCCCAGTACAAAGGCACCTTTGTTCTCCCATCTAGCTAATCAGTTTCCAGCCACTGGGAAAAGAAATATTTTGGCAGAAGGCCAGGGTGCAGGGTGTTGGTGTAAAGTGTAAAGGTGAATGGCCGCAGGGCCTGGGGCTGCCCTCCTACCTGGGCCTGCGTATCAGAGCAGCAAACTCAGAGAGGGCAGGCCGGGGACTCCGCCACAGCGCGAGCCCAAGCCCACTCTGCAGTGGGCGACAGTTCTTTCACAGGCCTGCAGGCACCCCTCCCTCACCCGGGACTAGCCGACCACCTCAGCTAACCGAGCAGCCACACTGGACTTCTCACTTCCTGTCCTTTGCCCACACAGGAGCCCTGTAGGGCCTCCCTCTGACCCTCATAGTCTTAAAACATTAATTCTGAAGTCTCCTTATCTCATTTATCAGCTCAGGAGAAAACACAGATACAGACATAAAAGCCTCCAGGGAGCAAAAGCAAATCTGAAAAACAATCAAACAAATAAACAAACAAACCCGCAGCTCTGGGAGAACCCCTGCCCGCATGCCTGTGCAGTAACAGAGCAGGACCATCAAGAAGTTCTGGGGACGAGGCCCCAGTTGAAGCTCAGAGGAAGACAGGGAGGAATGACGAAAGTTAAAGAGATCCAACCCAGCTGTTGATAACCTTTTTCTGTCACGAGTCAGAGGGTAAATGCTTCAGGTAGTGCAGGCCAGACTCTCTTGCAAAAGAAGCCACAGGCCACACATAAAAGCAGAGCCGTGCTCCAAGAAAACTTTATTTACAAAGACAGCCAGCAGGCCCCGACTGAGCCAGTGTGCTAATCCGAAATGGTTAAATGTATCATCTGGGAAGGAACCAGCAGTTAGCGTAACGGCTATGTCGCTGGACTCCCACGTAGTCGACTGCAGTTCGCATCCCGGACCCGGTGGCTTAAAAAAACTCATGCCGGGCGCGTGTGCGTGCGTGCCCCAAGATCCCGAGAGGAGAAAGGAGAAGGGATTGCGGCGTGGCCATCCCCCCTGGGGGGTGATTTCTCGTTTTCTGTCTCTCTGTCTCTCTCTGTCTGGCTGGCAAGCGCACGTGCCCTATAGCGAAAATCTCTCCAAAAAAAAAGTATCATCTAGCAACCTTAAGGAACAAAACATCAATTATGGCAATGCTCAAGTTCTCCAGACCCCTTCATTTCCTAAGAGAAAAAAAGAGCAGTTGCCACATATTTCATCAACACCTACTACGCGCAGGCCTTGCTCTGGGTGAGATGCGGGTGCTGAGAACGGCAATAAGCACTCTTGTCCAATAAGCACTCTTGTCTTGCAAGTGTGTGAGTGGGGACCTGGTCTGGTTTGTGGGGTGAGGCCAGGCTTCTCTAAGGTCTCTGCTGAGACCAGTAAAGCAGGCAGGACTGGGGCAAGACAGGTCCTGGGATGGGATACAGTGAAGGGCCAGGAGAGGGTTGGACACACGGTTCAATACAGTGAGGACAGACACAGGACGGGGGAGCCAGAACAAGTTAGAGGTGGCCAGGGCCAGACAGCCAGGCCTAAGGGGTTGGGCAGGATCCTAAGGGCTGTGGACTTTGGCCTAAGGGCCCCGGGAGGAAATCAGGATTTCGAAGGAGACTGAAGGCTTTTCCACACAGCTCACTGTCTGCCAGCAGGAGGGCATGGGGGGTGGGGAGCAACTTGCCTGGCCTACAGCTGAGGCAGTAAGATGGCAAAACACATTTGAAAAATAATTAGAGCACAGTTTTAATACGCTTGGTGACTAACTGCAAAATAGGGATGTGTCAAAGGTGACACTCGGGTTTCTGCTATGACCAAGTGGCACACGCTGAGGTGTCACTCCACAATTTCTTTGTACTGTTTTGCTTTTCTATTTCTGGGGTCAGGCCTTTTGTTAAACTACACTGTAAAGCTTATTGTTAAAATATGTATCTATTAGGTGACTTTAAAATTAAGCTTATTCGTTAAAATATAACCTAAAAATACACCCACACAATAATGCCCAAGGTCCTGGAGATGATTTAGCTGTCCAGGGACAAGTGTCTGGGCCACAGGCCATGTTCATGTAAAAGCAAATCTGAACAATCTGAAAAAACCTTGTCCTAAACAAGATGAAGTCTAAAATGAGGCCTTCTAGTTTCTAGCAAACTCTGAATAAATTCCAAGATGTGAACATAGCTAATGTCATACAAAAACATAGAGTAGGGGTCAGTGAGTGGTGTGGTGGCTAAGGCACTGGAC